TGCCCAATCTCTCACTGAAAAAACTGCTAGTAAAATATGTACTTTAGCAAGAACTCAGAGGGAGCGCAAGGAATAATGGTGAGCAATTCAATTATGAATAATGTAGGTATATGAATGTTTAGATATTAAAATACATTTCTGGATTCTTTTTCCTAGTATTTTACTTAGAAAATTTGCCTCTATATAAGTGAAATTATTCTGTTGTACCCATTTTTTGCACTGTTTTTAAAAATCATATTCTGGTTCAGGATAGTGGGCGTCCTCTGTAGTTCCACTGTCAGTCTGTCATTTCTTTGTATATAATCCATCTTCTCTCTTTTGTAGATTAGAGTTTCTCACTTAATGCTCTACACTTAAAACTGTAAATTTTTCTTCATGGAAGTTACAGTTCCAGAAAACATTTTAAACACTTACGCTACCTTCGTAAAATGAATTGGGGAGTTTTCATCCTTTTTACAAGGCCATAGATATCTAAACAATAGGAAAAATATTTATTCTTTACAGTCTAGCTAGAACTCAGCTCTAAAGCCATCTCATCCTGACATCTTTTCTTCTCGCTTTTATTATGAAAGTTTTTAAACATTCATAAAAATAAATAAAATTGTATCATGAGCCTGCTCACACCCATCATCTAGATTCAATATTAAGATTTTTATCTTGCTTGTCTCATCTATTTCTTTGCTGTGTCTGCTGAATTGTTTTGAAGCAAATCTTGGGCCTCACGTCTAAGATATTATCCTTATCTGGTTTGGCTTGCCTCTTGGAAAAAAAACATATAGACGTTTACTTTCATAGTCACAATGCCATTATTATACCAAGAAAAAATGAACAGTAATTCCTCAGTACTGCCTGTGTTCAAAGTCCCCTTATTGTCTCAGAACTGTCTTTTTCTGGTTGGCTTGTTTGAATCAGTATCTAAACAAGGTTGAATATTGCATTTGGGTTTTACGCCTCTCAAGTTTCTTTTAATATAGAGGAATTCCTCATTTTTTTTAATGCAATTGGCTTACTGAAGAAATAGGTCCATTGCCCTGTAGAAGGTCCCACAATCTAAATCTATATCCTCATGGTGTTATTCAAGTTTTTCTTCTATCATCCCTATTTCTTGTAAATTGAATGTTTCCTAAAGCCTTGATTAGATTTAGGGTCCAATCTTTTTGGAAAGAATACTTCACAAGATGATGCTGCATACTTTAGCTTACTTCCCAAATAATATCTGGTTGTCCCTCTTTTAGTGATTACAAGATTGAGTAATGGATTCAGGTGGTGGTGCCTCTGATTGCAGTTCCTCATCAACTTTTCATCTAATGGCTTCCATCCATCAGTGATTACAGTCGGCATCCTCTACCAGGCTCCCAGTGATCCCCAGCTCGTGATATGTACACCCTGATGTAAGTTTACACCCTCTCCTTGAGAGCAGCTGGACTTATGACTTGCTTCTATGAACAGAATGCAGCAGAGGTGACAATGTCACTTCAACATTCAGTTACCGAAAAACTGCATTCTACCTTGGATTCCCTCTCTTGTTCTCACTTGCTAGCTCCCAGGAAAGCCAGCTGCCGTCTTCTGAGATGCTTTATGGAGAGGTCCATGTGGCAAATAACTGACATCTCTGGCCAGCTGCCAGCAGGGATCTGAGCTGTGCCAACAGCCACAAGAGTGAGCTTGGAAGCAGATCCTCCCCTTAGCAAGCCTTGAGATGACTGCAGACCCGGCTGACCTTGACTGCAACCTCGTGGGAGACCCTGAGTCAGGGGCACCCCAGTAAGCCATGCCCAGATTCCTCATCTGTGGAAACCATGGTATAATAAATGTTTGCTGTTTTAAACTGCTACATCTGGGGGGTAATCTGTTACACGGCAATAGGTAACTAATACAATTACCTGTGCCTGAATTGATCATTTCATTACAGCTTACTCTTTGTTGATTTTCTAATTCAATCATTAATTCCACATTTATTATTTGGGAATAATTTGTAAAGAAAAACTTTCGCCCATCAATTAGGGCTATTTAGTTACACTGAAATACTGTCTGTACAAAAAAGGTGGTTCATTGCTGAAACTTTCCCTCTGAGTCGCCAATTTTCAGATTAAGGAGTTGATGTTCTAGTTACTTCCAAAGATGACCAGAGACACGTTTCTCTCTCTCTCTCTTTTTTAATTGAGGTATAGTTGGCTTGCAATGTTGTGTTAATTTCTGGTGGACAACATAGTGATTCAGTTTTATACATATATATTCCTTTTCATATTCTTTTTCTTTACAGGCTATTACAAGGTATTGAATATAGTTCCCTGTGATAAACAGTAGGGCCTTGTTATTTATCTATTTTATATATAGTAGTTAGTATCTGCAAATCCCAAACTCCCAATTTATCCCCCACCTTCACCTAGTAACTACAAGTTTATTTTCCACATCTGTGAATCTGTTTCTGTTTTGTAAATAAGTTCATTTGTGTCATTGTTTTAGATTCCACATAAAAGTGATGTCATATGGTATTTTTCTTTCTCTTTCTGGCTTACTTCACTTAGAATGACATTCTCCAGGAGCATCCATGTTGCTGCAAGTGGCATTATTTTATTCTTTTTTATGGCTGAGTAGTATCCCACTGTATATAGGTACCATATCTTCTTTGTCCAGTCATCTATCGATGGACATTTAGGTTACTTCCATGTCTTGGCTGTTGTAAATAGCACTGCTATGAACATTGGGGTGCATGTATCTTTTTGAATATCTTTTCGAATATGTCTCTCTCTTTTTAAATAGCATTGCAGATTTCTCAGTATTTGTTTTGTTTTTCAATAAACTTTTCTCTGAAGTATAATACACAGAAAATCCAAAGCTTGATGAATTATAACAAACTGAACACACCAACGGACCCACCACCAAGATCATAGAGCACAGCCAGCCAGCCCTCTCTTGCCCTCTCCTAACCATTACTCCATCCCTCTCCTCCAGAGGCAACCAATATTTACTGTAGGTCAGTTTTGTCTATTTTTGCACTGTTTTATACAAATGTAAACATACAGTATGGACTCTTGTATGTGGCTTCTTTCGGCATTATGTTTGTAAGATTCACCCATGTTTTGTACGTAGGAGTTTTTTTTTATACTTGATTATTTATTTAGGTTTTCTTTAGTACGTAGGAGTATTTATTTTCATTGCTGTTCCGTATTCAGTTGGATGAATATAGCCTGATGTATTTATTTAGTCTGCTGTTGACGAACATTCGGGCTATTGTAGATAATGTTATTGCAATAATAGTGGCACTTAAACAGCTTTGATTGCTGGAGAAGACTCACGGGACCCCAAATGAGAATGTTTGCCAGTTGCAGTTTGTTGCAGGGAAAGGATTCAATACCACAAAAGCATCCCAGACAACAGCAAGGGGTCCACAGAGACCAGACCCAAGCTCTCGCTGTCCTCTCTCTGTAAGGACCACACTGGACACACTGTTTCTCTTCTATCAGGAACCAGCATATGCATGGAGCGTGTTAGAATGAGCAAGCATGAAATGGAGTCTCAGACGTTCCTTTTTTCATTTTGCCAGTCAAGGTAGCATATCCCTCCTATGTAACCAGACTCTGGGAGTCTCATCAAACCAGGAGTTAATCATCAATATCACTCCTGTAATAAGCAGTGCTGATAAGCTGGTACAAACCACCCTGAAATTTCTTAGACCCATGGTTACAAAGCAACACTATAAATCAACAGGTTTCATGCCTTGATCAGGGGCCATTGTGATGCAGAAACTTTGTGATGCAAAACTGTTGCTATGAATGACCATGTCCCTGTCTTTGGATACACGTGTGCATATTTCTCTTGGGTGAAACTGCTGCATTACAGGGTCTGAATATAGTCAAGTTCAGTAGATAATGCCAAACATTTTTCCAAACTGGTTGTACAAATTTACCGCACTACCAACAGAGTATGAGGATTCTCATGATTCTATAAAGCTATATTGTTCCTTTAAATTTTAATCATTCTGGTAGCTGTAGCAACATTTCATTGTATTTTTATTAGGATTTCTCTGCTTACTAGTGAGGTGAACACCTGTTTATATATTTATTGGCCAGTGAGGTATAGTCTGGTGTAAAATGCAATGCAGATTTCATGCCTGTTTTGCAATTGTGTTGTCCTTTTTTCTTAATTGATTTGTAGGAAATTTTTACGTATTCTGATTGAGTTCTTTATTATGTATATTCCAAATACCTTCTCTAATTGGCTGGATTGCCTTTTAGTTTTCTTAATGGTACCTTTTGATAAATTCATAATTCTAATATAGTTAGTTGATCAATCTTTTCCTTTAGAGCTAATGCTTTGAGGATCCTGTTTAAGAATTCTTTTCTTTTTTTAATTGGAGGGAGGAAATTAGGTATTTATTTATTTGTTTATTTTAATGGAGGTACTGAGGATTGAACCGAGGACCTTGTGCATGCTAAGCACACACGCTCTACCACTGAGCTATACCCTCCCCCCAAGAATTCTTTACTTATCCTAAAATCATGAAGCTACATTATCTTGTCAACAGTTTATGTTTTCATCTTTCATATTTAGGTCTATAATCCACCTGGATTAACTTTTGTGTCTGGTAAAGGATGTCCAAAATATGGTGGGATGCAGCTGAAAGGTGTGCTCCAAGGGAAAATTATAAACCTAAATATCTATGTTAGAAAAGAAGAAAGCTGAAAATCAACGTTATGCCAAAGTTAGAAAAAGAAAATGGTTTCTAATTTCCAGTGTGATATCTTCTTTGAATTGTTTAAGATTATTTACCAATTTTGCTTTTAAGTAACTATTTAGAACTGTATTTTTTAGTCCCTAAATAGATGGATATTTTCCATTATAGTTTTGTTATTGATTTCCAGCTAATTCCACTGTGATCAGAGAACATATTTTGCATGATTTGCATGCTATGAAATGTGCTTTATGGGTTAACGTATAGTTAATTTTGGTAAATGTTTTGTGTGTACTTGGACAGACTGTATATCCCATAATTATTGGGTCGAGTTTTTTTTCATCGTGTCATTCAATAGATCTGATTTTTTTTCATTAGTTACTGAGAGGAGGGGGATGTTTAAATCTCCCATTTTGATTCCAGAGGTGTTTGCTTTTATTTTTGGTTGTATTAATTTTTTTTCTTCATGTGTAAGACTCTGATATTCAGGGCATACAATTTAGAAATCTGTTGTATTTTTGACAAACAAAACTTTTACAATGAATAAGTAATCCGCTTTATCTTTAATGATGCTTCTTACCTTAAAATTGACTTTGTTTGATATTAAGATAACTATACCAACTTTCTGTGAGTAAATGTTTGGATGGTATATCTTTTTCCTTCCTTTTCCATTCAACCTTTGTGTATTCTTAATCTTAGTTTATGTCTCTTGTAAGCAGCATGTCACTGGAATTTTTTTTAATCCAGATTGGCAATCTTTGGCTTTTAATTGAAGTATTTATTTCATTGGTACCAATTATCAATTATTCATTGATATTATTAATTATCGACATACACAGTTTAAATCTAACATCTTACTATTTGCTCTCTGTCCTTCCCACCTAAACTACATGATTTTTTTCTTGATTTTCTTGTCTGCTTTTGGATTGATTAATTTTTTATTATTCCTTTCTCCTCCTCTAATTGCGTGTTGGTGGTACATTATCTTCCTATTCTTTCCGTGAATACCCTAGGTATTACTGCAAATATCCTGAACTTAAAACCAATGTGTATTAGTTCTTTTACCACATCTCAGACGTGTTACCACCTTAGGGCCCTCTAACTCCATTTACCTCCATCCCAACTTCTGTGCTGTTGTTTTCCTGTATTTTAATTCTGTAGACACCACCCCCTAACATTTTTAGGATTCAGAGGAGTACAAATGGAGACTGATGCACTGTATTTCTAGATGCACTGGCTTAAAGTAGAAATCACATTAACAAACTGCCAATAAAATGTGTGCTATTTTCCCTTCATTTATCAGTAGTGACAATTTAGAAGACCAGGTTCAAATTTATAATTCTAAATTCAAATGTAGGATTCTTCAAGGTTGCATGCTGGAAATAGTGGCACAGAAGAGCTGACCTCCAGTTCCTGGTCCTCCTTCTCCTCCCACCTCCAGCTCCTTGCCCCATGTCCACCTCCAACACGGGGGGGCGCCTCATGCACGTGTGTTCCGACACCCAAGCTCTGTAGATACCTGCTACTGACAGCCTCCACATGTCCACCACTAGGTCCTCAGATGTGCTCCAGCTGCAGGGTCCTTCCTTAGGAGGGTGGAACCAGGCACAGGGCCCACATAGGCCTGGAAGGATGATGAGATCCATTTGCTTGGGGGAGTTCTGAGGTCCAGATACCCAAACTGTGGTCTAGATGGAGCTACATAGGTTCCAGATGGGCACGTGCCCCTGCCCTCTGGACTCCTTACCCTATGGCATGGCGGAAGGATGATCAGGTGCAGGGCCCAGGGAAGGGCACCAGTGGCCCAGCTCTAAGCCTAGTGACTACACACACACACACACACACACACACACACGCATGTGTATATACATATATATATGTATGTCCCCACAAGACATTATTCTGTAAAGCTTTATACAGTTAATATTCACTTAGATTTACCTACATTTTCATCTTTTCTATTGTTTGCTTCATTCTTCCTGCATCTCCAAGTTTCTATTTGACTTAATTCTCCTTCTACATGGAGGACAGCCTTCAATATTTCCTTTAAAGCAGGTATCCCAGCAATGAATTTTTTCTCTCTCTCTCTTTTTTTTGTCCAAAGATGTCTCTATTTCCCTTTCATGTTTGAAGGGCACGCTCCCTGGATGTAGACTTCTAGGTCAGAAGTTACTCTCTTTCTGCTCTTTGAAGGTGCCATTGCATCTTTGCTGTACACTTTGTCTCTTTGGAGTATTCAATTGTTGGTATTATTGCTTTAACTTTGAAGAACACATAGACACTCAATAATTGAGATGATCGGAACCCAATTGTTCACAACAGGCAGAAGATTTGAGCAGGCCTTTTACCAAAGATAACACATCAGATGTGGGAATTTCATCAAATTTGGTTGATATGCAGGCTTGTGGTAAGACCACCGTGCTTGAGGTACTGCCCTTTGACCCTAAGTGAGCCACTTAAGCTCTCTGGATCTCATTACCCTACCTGTGAAATGCAGATAACAATTGTAAAGGCCATTCAGAGGCTTAAATGATTCAATTTAATGCGAAGTGCCTAGAAGAGCGCCCGCCAGGCACGGAGTACACACTTAAGAAATGGGAGATAGCTTTGAGTTAGTGTGATTGTCACTAATACCATGAATAATGTTAACAGTAGTACCAGCACAAGTTGCTGTGCTGAGAAGTCTCCTCCTGGTTTTGGCTTCTGTAATATTTGGGAACAAATTTCAGGACAGTCGGTAGCAACTGCAGGACGAACTGCCTCTTTTTGGGTTACCATTACTGAGGGATTTATTTTCATCAATATTTCTCTTCATTCCCTAGACCATTGTTGTTTTTTGTTTTTTGTTTTTTTCTATTCTGTATTGATTTAGGATTGCGTTTGGTTACAAGTAAGAGGATGCTTAGATGCCAGCACCTAAAAAACATGAAGGTTCTGTCCATTGCATCTGACAGGATGTCCAGAGGTCAGCAGAACTGGGATGCATCAGCCTCCTGGGCTGTCTTTCCCTTCCTTCAGTCTTTAATTGTGGTTTTCATTCAAATGGCTTCGGGGGCTGCTATACCTGTGGGCATTTTTTTTTAATATTCATTTTCTTATTCTGTTCTGGGGGAAGGCAGTTTGTTTGTTTATTTATTTATTTATTCATTCATTCATTCATTTATTTTAATGGAAGTACTGGGGATTGAACCCAGGACCTTGTGCATGCTAGGCACACACTCTACCCCTGAGCTGTACCACATATAGTTCTGTTAGAAAGGGAAGAAGTGGGGATGGATAGCTCAGATTGGGTACCAAGCAGTGTCAACAACGAAGGTGTAACTAAAATCCACAAAATCCTGATTTCTGATCCGTTTATAGCCTGTGACCTCATCTCATGCCCGGTGCCTCTCAGCCACCGCATTCTGGCCACACTGCCTTCTCCTAGTCCTTTCAATTCACCGGGCTGCTTCCTGCCCTGGGATGCTGGCACTGAGCCTGCTTCTGCCCCGATGCATCTTCCTGAATCTCCTGTGGCTGCTGCCTCCTCCTGTGTCATATGCCAGATTCTGAAGCCCCGCCTCAGAGAGGACTTCCTGGCCAGCTCGTCCACCGTGTCACTCTCTCACACACCATCCCGTCTTAATTCTCTGCTTCGTATATAGTGTGTAATCATGTAGCTGTCTGATTACCTACATTTTATATGGTTTTTGGTCCACTATTTGATACGTATTGGTCTGTCTTTCCCAATAGGAATCTTGTCATTCTGTTTGTTGTCATTTCTCCAGTGTCTGGAGCACTTCTCGACACATAATAAACCCTCAATAATTATTTGTGGAATGAATAAAATAATCCTTGACATTTATTGAATGAATGAGAGCATCGCTATGGAATAGACCTTTTCCCTTCGCTACAAAACACACTTTCTCTCCTTGTAATCATTTCCCCAGAAATTTTCTAGAGAAAACAAAATTTCTGCAGCTTTTGGCATGCCCCCAAGTGTGACCACTAACCCTGTAGCATCAGATAGGATGACTTACTCGTGTGCTGAGTTACTCTGAAAGGTAATTTTTTAATCAGTCTCTGAGCAATCAATATGCTTCTCTATTGAAAATGAGGCCTGTGAACTCAGTCCTGTTCAGGGCAGTGAACAGATGAGTTTCTTTGTTCTCGACATCAAAGTCCCTTCTCTGCCAGGGCTCTCAGTGATATTATCATTGTATTATCATTGCCGTCACTTGAACTTATCCCACTTGTGATAAATTGCCTCCACATTTAATGCATCATGAAACTGAGAATCTATTGTGCCAATTTTGTCCCTGATTTCCCTCTAATTTGTATCTGTTTCTAGAATAGTAATGAAATCAGCGTAAATCATATTAAAAAAAATCAGATTAGGGGCTGCAGATACACGTGAGTTTCATTAAAAGAGTATGTAACATAATCAGAATTCTGAGATAATCAAAATGTAATAATCTGCAAAATTACCATGGGAAAATTACTGTTTGAATGATATAATCAGATGATGAAAAGAAGCATAATAGTTCTGAATTCATATGACTTCCTATTAAGAAATGATTATTAAGGGAAAATGGGCCGGTTAAAAAGGAACTGCTGGGGTTTCTTACCAGGTCCCAAAAGAAAACAAATAATCAGGTTACTGTCGTGTCTGAAAATAGAACAGACATTGTGATCTTGGGAGAGGGAGTTATTCATCTTGTCATAGAGGCAGAGGGTGGTAACGAACCAGACCTTGTGGTGACGCTGATTAAAGCATTTGGAAAACACACGGAGAGAAGGCAGAAAGGGAGAAAAGGAAGACAACAAAACCAACTGAGCTCAGCTCAGCCTCAGGGCTCTCAGAACACAGAACAGCCTGGCACAGGGGGCTTTAGACATGTGATGTGGGGACTTAATTAGATGTTTCCTCCCACAGTACCCCCTAAAATGCCCTGGCACTTATGTAACTCTGCCTAACAGCATGGCTTTTTTGGTGTACCCTCATGGTCTCTAAGTGCTAGTGAGAATGATGATTATTTGTTTAGGGTTTACTATTTGTAAACAGAATCTCCCGTTTGTCGTTTCACTTGAGACACTGCATTGAGAACTTTGTTGCTTATTCAAACAAATACGCTAGGAGATGAACACAGTATTTTATTCGCTTATATTTTTTCCACTCCCTGTAACTAAGAGAGGACCACCTCCATCCCTGACTCTTCTCAGAGGGAAAGAAAAAAATCTGCTCCAAGTTGAATTGTTGGCTTTACCCAGGCAGAGAAGCAGCTGCCAGATGCTCTCACCTTACAAAGAAAGGAGGAAATTTCAGTTCTCATGACTAGATATTCCATTGAAGTCATTTTTAAAAGAGATGATGTGGTGTAAAGCACTAGCAGTGGGGGTGTGACTCAGGACAGCTTTCTGGAGGGTAAGTCGGTAATAGACATGGCGGTCTTTTACAATGTACAGACTCGGAAGGTCGCTCTTCAACAACATGGAAATGCAGATATAAACACAGGAGATGGGTTAAACACACTCACACTCCTTAAAGGGAGAGGTTCACAGCTATAAAATGTGAAAGAAATCTATGTATCTATGTGCTGATAAAGAGTGATTTCTGGGAGATACTCTTAACTGAAAAAAGCAAAGGGCAAGATATATATATATATATAGTAAAATCCATTTTGTATAAAGAAAAAAATATATGTATATGCTTATCCTTTTTAAACAAAAACCTAGTGGGATTAACCAGAAATCAATAAAGTTGATTCCTTATGAGCGATAAGGAGACGCAGGGTTGAAGGATATGAAAGAGATGACGTCACTCTATCCCTTTATACACAGTTCTGACTTTTGGGAACATATTAGTGTTCTATGTATGCGTGAAATGAAATGAACAGAGATGAGAAAGAAAGCGAAAATGTATAAAGCAAAGGAAACTGGGAAAACACAAACCCAGCTGTAAATCCAATGAACGCCGGTAACTACTGAAGGGGAGAAAGAGAAAGAATCAACGGGTCATAGCACACGCGGTCTCTGGCAGGGTGGGAGGGAGCTGCAAACGCGCTGAGGGCTTTCCAGTAGATCTGGCTCTGCGGTAGTGTGGAAGAAGCAATTCTGAAACGACTTGAGATGTGTGATAGGATTGAACACAACTGTAAATGTGTTGATGTTTTGGAAGCCCGGATTCCCGCTGTGGAAGAGAGGACTTTCAAGTATGAGAAGGAGGTTGCGGGGCAAGAAAGACCCCTGGGGGGAGGGGTTGGAATTGGAGGTGTCAGTGTGAACGCATGATTTCAAAGTATGTAGTGAACCCTTGTTATTGGAAGATTCCTCCTCTCACTGACATTTTTCATGACCCCCGAATCAGTACGTGCACCAGTTTTGTGGCCCTTTGCAGACATGTGCAGGGTGGCAAAATATTTGAGTCGCCTGACCTGACTCCCACGTTCCCAGCTGAGGGTGAACGAAGCAGGGCTCTGCCTTCTTGTCTCGGCTCTCATATTGTAAACGTGTCAATTCCCCAGGCTATTCAGTGCCACGCTTCCCCCATGTTTAGGCTTTTTCTTGGTGATTTTGCTGTTTAAAAAAAAAAAGCCCCCAAGTGTAGTGCCAAAGAGCTGTCTCATGTCCCCAAGCACAAGAAAGCTGTGACGCGATTTATGGAGAAATACGTAAATAAGGCAGACCTAGTTCAGGCATGGAAATACGGTGCTATTGGCCGCAAAATCGATGTTGATGAATCAGCAGTATATCCTAAGAAGGTGTCTTTAAACAAACACACATAAAGCAGAGTTATGTACTGATCAGTTGATGGGAAATGTTGTGACCTAACCCTGCATTTGCCCTCTCGGCAATGGATCAAGTGCTTTCTAATTCAGTGTTTGTGCCCACTTTACAGAACAAATAAGGAGAATTGGGATGAGAAGATTGGCTGTATGTGTATAGACCTGCACGTTTGCATATTGCAGAGGCATGGAGGTGGGTCTATCTGCATGTGTGTTTATTACATGTACATACCTGTACATGCATAGACTTCCTGGTTCTGACTGCTGAAGGGCCCGGCAGCAAAAACATCCCAGTAGCAATGAGCGCTCCCAGCATCCAGATACTGGTCTCTCATAGCATTTCCCACTAAAAAGAACCAGGGATCCTTGGTAAAATGGCTGATTCCAGGGCTGGGCAGGGTGGCTGCGTGGGTATAAGACGAGCCTGGAACATCTTATCATGCAAGATAGTAGGGAGATGCTCAAAACAAAAACAAAAACAAAAAAACAAACACTGCACCCAACAATGGCAAAATACCCTTCACCAAGATAGGCCATATCCTGGCCAGAAAACAAATTTTTTAAAAATAGAAATTATACAGAGTATGTTCTCAGACCTCAGTAGGATCAAACTAGAAATCAGCAATACAAAGACAACAAAAAAATCTCCACTTGGAAGTTAGTCAGTCCACTTCTAACTTACAGCACAGGTCAGAAAGGAAGTCTCAAAGGACATAAGTGGTATGCCTCACCAAGGCATTTGACCAGAGCTAATAGTCTGTTACCAAGCCCTGTGTCTTATCCATCAGGACACGTGAGTTTTGATGTGAACAAGGGGAGATAGGTCTGAGGATGGACTCCTGTCTGCAGCAAGTACACCAAGGAAGCCATGGGTGAAAGGACGCCATTTTTCCTGGGACAACTCTTTCTACTGCCGTATTTTTTCAAGAACAAATGTGGAGAGGGGTGTGCACGAGTTCTTGGGTTCAATTCCCAGTACCTCCATTTAGAAAAAATTTAAATAAGTAAATAAATAAATAAACCTAATTATCTTCCCCTTCCAAAAAAAAAAAGATTGAATGTGACACTTGATTTTATTTTTACTGAGGTGAAATTTACATAACAAAAGTAACCATTTTCAGGTGCACAATTCAGTGTCATTTAATACATTCACAATCTTGTGCAACCACTACCTCTATCTAGTTCTGAAATATTTTCATCACCCCAAAGGAAACCCTGTATGTGTTAAGCTATTCTAACTGTCCCCTCAGCCCCTGGCAACCACCAATATGCTTAGCATCTCTACGGATTTACCTATGCTTATAAATGGAACCAGAATATGTGACTCCCAATTCTGAAATGTGATAGCTTTTCTAAACATCAGAAGGGAAAGATCAAAGAAGGGCTGGTAGAATTATACATATAAATATACATCTGTGATGACTCAGCTGTAGACATCTGCCCAGTTCCCATCAACCCACTTTTCTTTGTGAGGTTCCCCCACAGGACACAGCAGCCATATTTGCACCGGAGCCCTGGGCCCTGGCCTCAGTCATTTGAACTAAGGGTAGGCACCAGATTCATAGCAGGCCGATCAGATTTTCTCCGCTGGACACTCCATATTGGGCTGACACTTCAGTTCAGGGCTTGTGATTCTTTGGACCAGGGGTGCGATAAATCCAGAAGCTCAAGGGAGCCATTTTCAACCGGATGCACACAGCAGAAAGAAAATGAAGGAATTGTTTACACTCCATTTTTCCATAAAATGTATTCAGGTATTTGAAATAGACACTTTTTTTTAAAACATTTTTTAATTGAGTTCTAGTCATTTTACAATGTTGTGTCAAATTCCAGTGTAGAGCACAATTTTTCAGTTATACATGAACATAGATACATTCGTTGTCACATTCTCTTTCCCTGTGAGCCACCACAAGATCTTGTATATATTTCCCTGTGCTACACAGTACAATCTTGTTTATCTATTCTACTTTTTGAAATCCCAGTCTGTCCCTTCCCACCCACCGCCCCCCTGGCAACCACAAGTTTGTATTCTATGTCTATGAGTCTGTTTCTGTTTTGTATGTATGTTCTTTTCCCCTAGATTCCACATATGAGCGATCTCATATGGTATTTTTCTTTCTCTTTCTGGCTTACTTCGCTTAGAATGACATTCTCCAGGAACATCCATGTTGGTGCAAATGGCGTTATGTTGTCGGTTTTTATGGCTGAGTAGTATTCCATTGTATAAACATACCACTTCTTCTTTATCCAGTCATCTGTTGATGGACATTTAGGCTGTTTCCATGTCTTGGCTATTGTAAATAGTGCTGCTATGAACATTGGGGTGCACGTGTCATTTTCAAGCAGGGTTCCTTCTGGATATATGCCCAGGAAATAGACACATTTTAATTGTCCATTTATATTCTGTGCAATAAAATAGCAATATGAACATGAATCCCAATAAATTAAAAATTAATGATCATAATACTAAAAGCATTCATGCTCTTAGTCTAGTATGTTTAATATTATTATTTTCTAGATTTATATGTACCCCTGACATATTACAAGTAATAGTTTTGGGGGAAAAAAAATGAATCTTTTAAAACATACCTGAGCTTGCTATTTTAATGATTCTATGATACTGTGAACGCTTCTGCTACAAACAAGTTTGTCCACCTTTAACATTTTTTTTAAAAAAGGTTCTTGAAATTTACACACCTGTGAAATGAGGATTCCGAAGGTTGGAATTGGATACGTCCCCTGCCGTGCTATTGCCCCCTAGTGGCTGATGACAAGAACCCAGCTGTGAGTGTGGGCCTGCCCAGTCACGTGACCCAAGCAGCCTAGCCCTCCCACCCCCGGAAGGTAAACTCCGCCTGCCCCCCCGGGAGACTCCGAAGAAAATCTTGCTCCCTTCGGCCCGACTCCTCTCCCAAGATTCCCTAGGGGCTGAGGGCTCTAAATTGGGAAAGTGACAAGGAAGCCTGTGGATTCACTCAGGAGGAGATTCCCAGAACATCTCATGTGACTGTCATGTCATGGATGAAATGCTTTCCACCTCACCTGGCAAAGTCCAGGGCAAAGCAAAAACTGCTGAGTCTCCGGCTAAGGATTGCCGGCGAGCTCCCACCTTGCGCGAACGGAGAGGCTGTGGCAGGTACAAAAATACCGGGAGTCCGCCGTCTTCACGAGTTACCTTGGGGGAGTGCCCCAGTTTCTCTGGGTCTGGGTTCCGTCTTCAAAAATCCTGCCCTGCCAGATTTGCCCCAATCTACCAGGCCTGGCACGAATAATCCCTTACCCTGCAACGTGCCCGGAGCGCTCTGTAAACTCTATTTCAGCTCCTACACCCGGCATGAATTCAGAAGCTCAGAGCTTCTGAACGGAAAGTACCGTCTCCATCCCTCTGATCACTCTGTGGGGCTGTCCTCGCATATGATAAAAACTGAGGTGGTCACCACTGTCCGAAACTTCTCTGCAGTTCCTCCAGCTTTTGTCCTCAAAAGAAAAGTGCCCAGCCAATGAGACAGTATGCAATCCACAGTGAGAAAGGGGCGGTTCTCAAGAGTAAGGGGGCTTCCCTCTGCTGCTGCCTGGTTCTGGACCCTGGACGAGTCACTTCACATCTTTGGATCAGTTTTCTCACCAGGTAAGTGAACAGGTTGGGTGACAGATTCTCCAAGACTGTTATTTGAGTTCTGTGATTAACTGAATATATTCCCCTCTAATTCAGGGTTATCTAAGTCTGCATTGACCACCTCCCTTTTCTCTCTTATTTTCATCCTTCCATTAAAAAAAAAAATCACCCTTGTGAAGCTGGAATGAGCCATGTGGCTTTGGATTAGAGTCAGACATCATTATGAACTCATAGTTAGCTTTGTATATACAAACGGGTGGATTCAGAGAGAATTACAGGTAAGTGGGGCTACCACCCATACATGTATTTCCCAGCTCTGTTCAGTGAAAGGCCTAAGAGCAAATTATTAGGCCTAATTATTATTAGAGAAATGTAAATAAAAACCACAGTCTCTTAACAGATGAGAAACCAAAACCCAGCAAGGTAAGCAGAGAGAAAAGTCAAGTGTCAAAACTGGCCCTTCTGAGTCCGAAGTTGAGTGTTTTTTCTTTCTAAAGCACACTGCCCCAACTTGAGTTGAATGCAATATGCTTTGTTCAGATTTTACTTATTAATGTTTTCCATCACTTGTTTAACAGTAACTTGTTGATCATTCTTGTTCCTTCTTTCCTTTCATCCTTATAATTACTTTGACCCGAAAAGGATTTTAGACTGAAATGCCTACCGTGACAGAAGCATTCTTTTTTTTTTTTATTTAATGCAATGCATTTGTTTGGGATTTTTTTTGGAAGAGATTAGGTTTATTTTATTTATATATGTATTTTTCAGTGGAGGTTTTTCAGTTGAACTCAGGACCTCATGCACACTAAGCTTGCACTCTCCCACTAAGCTATACCCTCCCCCGGAAGGAAGCATTCTAATGGATGCTGGGAGGCAGAAGGGGGCCCAGCAGCTTCCCTGACCGCAGTGGGAACAGCTGACACAGGCAGGTGCGGCCCGTGTCAGTGCAGTCACTGAAGCAGGGGGCAGTATAATGCCGTCATTGGATAGATCCTGAGAGGCTGCCCGGAGGTGGAGATATTTAAGCCTCATCCCAGAAAGGTAAGTGGGCATTTCTCAAGTATTTGGGGCTGCAGGAAGGAGGCACAGGCAGAGGCGCAGGAGGTATAAGGGACAGGAGCAGTAAACTTTCATCCTTACAGTGATGTTTGCTATGCTCTCTAGATAAGACTTTTTTCTAACTCCATCAGTTCATCAGTTATCATACCACATCTCACATTCTGCTAAATGCTGTTGCTGTATAGATCCTCTTTCAAAAAAGAAACATGGATTCAGCTCCTCCACTACGGGATCCACTCCATTTAATAAATTGGCTACAGGTTCTAAACACTCAGTGCCGTGGTAACAGGCACTCCGCCTTATTCCACAAACCTGTGTTGATGCCCATGGGCCACGCACCGAGCGAGGTGCTGATGCAGAATCAAAGATGAAGATGAGGGCACTGAGGGGTCTGGGCTGGCAGAGATAGGAGACACCTGCCTTCACCCACGAGAAGAGCCCGTTAGAAGACTAATTTCAGCTGTTATTGTATCGGTTCAATTACTGTAAATTCCTTGAAGGCAGGAACCATGTCTGCCTGTGCCTGGAAGTCTCTCTGACGCGCCTCATGCACTCCTCCCTCCATATCTACTGCCAGGTCTTGCCCATTTTACCCAGAAGTATTTTTCAAATGCACCCATTTCTCTCCATCTTTATCGCCGCCTCCGTATTGCCAGCCACCGTTGGTCCTTCTTGTGGATTTCTGCAGTTGGTCTCCTTGCATCATTTCTAATCCTTCTATAATCCCTCTAATCTAGCGTCCCCATGTCGGCCAGAGTGATCTTTGTAACAGGCAAGCCTAATCGTGGTCAGCTCTCACACGTGTTCAGAGTCACTCCGTGCCTTCCAGCTGTTCTTGGTAAAAAGATGTGACCTGTCTCGTCACACCTCCAATGAGAGCAGAGACCTTGAGTCAAGCCTTTTAGAACTCTCTGCTCTCAGCAGTGGGGAAGGAAAACCTAATATCTCATTTGGTGCTTAAATGCTGTGTCTGCCACAAATTAATATATCACTTATCACTCATTTAGCATCTAGAGACCTTTCCATATCAGCAAATCCAGAGCTGTTTCTTTTTTCTTCATAACCCCATGGTATTACATTATGCTCGATGTTTCATAATTTGTTTAACCAGCCCCAATCCCACATAAGGTGTTTCCAGTGCCATAGGTACACATTTTGTACATAGATCTTATTAGCTTACTATTCTTCACTTAAAAAATTATTTTAGCAGGGGGTGGTTAATAGCTCAGTGGTAAAGCACAGATTTAGCATGCGTGAGGTCCTGGGTTCAATCCCCAGTACCACCAATTTTAAAAACTCTGTAAAAACAAATTTATTTTAGCTCTTCCTGTAAAATTCTGCTTATTCCTACATCTTCCATATAAACTTTTGAATCAGTTTTTGAGCCTTCCTGAAAATTTCTGTTGGAATTGTCAATGAAAATTCAATTAACCATCAAATTAGGAAGAAAAAAAAAAGAGAATTTTATTCAAGCCAAACTGAGGGTCATAGCCTGGGAAGCAGATTCTGAGAAAGCTCTGAGAACTGTTCTGCCTGTTAAGAGTCGGAGGCGCTGTCATATACATTTTCGAGACAGGATTGTACGTCAAAATGACAAGGTGATATTTTACATAGATTTCACCCAGGATGCTTAATCACGTTAAGGACCTACAGAGCAGCAAGGCACCATGACCCCTTACAGAGCTGAGAAAGAGTGCATCAGAAGAAAAAAAAAATTGATCTTTACTGCCGAGCAGGCCCTCCTATCTTTGCAGAACTGTGGCTAATGTGTAACGCAGATGCAGACTGCACATCAGGGGGAGAGGGCAGAGGTCCAAATGGACACATAGAGAGAATTTTGTTTAAATCTTTCTTGTCCACCTTTAAAATATAAATTTTATTTCATTGGAATCTTGCTCAGAATTGCAATAATTATATAGGTTATATGTAAAAATGAAAAAGTGAGAACTTGGAATCTGTTTCTGCACAAGAGATTCTATATGAGTTGTGATTTTGCACAAGAAGCCAAAAAAGAAATTATAAATTAGAAGCATAACCCTTCCCCCAAAAGAAAATACAGTTTTATTGCATTGGGAGCCCATTAGATTATTTAGCTATCAGAAAGGCATCTACTGAGCAGGGCCTGTGTACTGGGACGTAGACAGTGTCTCCATATTCCAGTGTGTGGACATAATGATAAACATAGAAACACACACACAGATGCAAAAATGCAGATGTGACATTGCTAAGGTAAAGAAAGAAACAGGAAGGGGAGGTGGGACCTGGGAGCTAGTCTTGGTTGAGTGATCCGGGAAGCCCACCTAGAAAGAAATATTTTTTTTTAATTTATATTTTTTAAATTAATTAATTTATTTTTTAATTTAAGCAACTATTTTTTTTTGTTTTTTGGGGGGGAGGGGGTTGTAATTAAGTGTACTTATTTATTTTTTATTGGGGATACTGGGGATTAAACCCAGGACCTTGTGCCTGCTAAGCAGACACTCTACCACTGAGCTATACCCTCCTTCCAAGAAACATTTAAACTGAGCTTTGAGTGACCAGAAAGATCCAGCTATGCAGACACTCAAGGGGAGAACGTTTCAAGCAGAAGGAACAGCCAGTGCCAAAGCCCCAGGGCAGGCATGAGATTATCTGCACACGGGGGGACCTGAGAGCCGGTGTGCAGCTGCCCAGGGGAAGCGTGGTGAAGAGGAGACGGAGGTGGGCTCTGTGAAGTCCATCAGGCAGGGAAAGATGAAGACCTGCGATCTCACTTACATGTGGAATCTGAAAGACAAGGAAAACAACAACAACAACAACAAACAAGCTCATAGATAACAGAGAACAGATTGATGGTGGCCAGAGGCGGGGGTGGGGATGGGGTGAGATGGGTGAAGGTGGTCAAGAGGTCCAGCCTTGTGGTGGATGAAATAAGTCCCGGGGTGTGATGTACAGCATGGGGGCTGTAGTTCGTCATATTTGAAAATCGTCAAGAGTAGATTTTAAAAGCTTTCATCACAAGAAAGAGAACAGAACTATGTGAGGTGATGGATGTTAACCAGACTGGCTTTGGTGGCCATTTATATATATATGAAACCATCATATTGTTCTCGTTAAACTTGTCCACGGTGATATGTCAATTACGAATAAGCCTGAGTGGGAAGTGAGGAACCTCAGACATCGAGGATCCGCAGGCCAGAGACTCTAACACACAGGGCCCTTTATGTTAAACCCCCCAGGGAGGACCCCAGGCTGCCCTGTGTCTACAGAGATGCTTCACAGCAGCGCAAGTCATCTTCCTCCTGCAGGTCGCCGTTCCCCGGGCCCTTTCCCCTCAGTTCCCCTTTGCAATGTTCGGGTTGAACAGAAAGCAAAGGCTGCCCTGGTGGAACTCAAACAAGGAACTCCTCTGAGGATTGTGCAGAGAAGGACTGAGCAACGAGGTCTCGACTAGAAGACACCAGGGGCCCACTTTCTTTTCTTTCATGCCTGGATCTCAGAAATCAGTGATGAACATCTAGGGGGGACCTGTAATGGCTCTAGCCCGAGCCAGGCCTGTTAGAAAACGGAATTTTCACATCCTACTGCCGGGTTAGCTCCTGTTTATGCTTCTTAGGATAAAACCCAGCTCAGGCATCACCACCTTGAATGGTGTGGGTCGGTGTTCCCATTCTCCGACCGTCCCCCACCCCAGGCTAAAAACCAGTCCCTTTGCTCTGTGACCTTGTGCCACCTCCCCTTAGAGGGGTAGAGTGTTCTCCACTCCAGGGATACTGGCCTTAACCCTGAAGAGTTGTTCTGGCCGATGATATGTGGGTGGAAGTGTCCTGTGACAGTTCCAAGTCGAGGCCCCAGAGGCATTGCATGTTTCCACCTGTCCTCTTGCATTCCTGCCATTTGCCAGGAGAACATGTCCCGGGGTAGCCACAGATCCAAAGTGGACGAGAAACCTGTGAAACAGACCCACCCACTGACTTGCAGACCATGAGTGAGACAAAAAAAAAAGAATGATTTGCTCTTGCCAGCCAAGTTTTGGGGTGGTTTGTGATGCAGCATCCTCTGTGAACTCTTCCAGCCCTCCCTCCCCCCAGCCACCCGCATCACTCCCTCCTCTGAGCCACTTTCTCACCTCCCACGCACACACGCACACTCACGCTCAGCCACTGCATTGTGGCAGCTGTGTGCACATCCGTCTGCTCTGACAGCCAAGCACCTCTGCAGCAGGAGCACAATGTGCGGCTTAATAAACTTTTATTGAACTCAAGTGAATTCAGAAAAGCTTATTGAATTTTGCATTACATCGCAAAATTGCTTTTCTTCCATGTTTCTAATTCCTAACACGTATACCAGCGCTTTATAAGTTGGCTGTGTTATTGGCAATGGACTTCCCTTTCATTCCCCGATGTTTAAGCCTTTACTTGGAGTACCTTCCAGGCAAGCTTGAGTGGGTGCCATTCCTAATTAGGATCAGATATCAGAATATTTCCATTTACTCCATAATTCCACTTTCTTCACAACCCACACATGGTGAAACTGTTATAATACAAGGAAGCTAGATTTTGATTATTAATATTGTGTGTTTATTAAGAACATGACTTGCTCGTTGCCAGATTCACTCTGTACAATTTTACCAAGTTTTTCACCTCTGACTATCTGGCTTGCTACCATTAATCCTTTCTCCTTTCCAAAGTTATGATCCTTTCCAAGTCCCAGACCCGAGCCTTTCTCATTCTTACTCTCTTTGCTCCACATTTCTGTAGAGGAGGAAAGAAATCTCTTTTTCTCTCTTCCCACCTTAGGTTCATTGGCTGGCGCCCTGTAAATTAGACTGACAAAAGATCGATTAACAAGAGAAAAAGCAAAGACACATTTATTAACACATGCATTATGCGTACACAAAGCACTCGGTGGTAACTCTAAGGGCTGGTTAGGACGTGGGCTTATACCACAGCTTAACAAGAAATTTGTAATAAGTGACAAGACAAAGGGAAGGGACTTTGGGCTTCTAGGAGTGGCAAACTGGGAAAGTAAACATATGGGGAAATTGGTGGAAGATAAGGGCTGGATAGTAATGTATACAATCTGGGTTCCTCTAGTGTCTCTGAGCCGATAAGCATCTAGAGTTGTCTCTGTGATTAGGAATTCTGGGAGAGGGAGGAAGGGCAGGAAGTTTCTGTTCTGTCTGCTTTCCCTTAATTGCTTTCAGCCTAAAACAATCCTCATACAAGAGTGGCATATTGCTGAGTGGCATGTTCTGGACCTTGTCGCCATCTTTATCTTTTCCCTTCTGCTGCAACCAGAAGATCTGGTCCTTTCCTAGTCCTCTGTCTCCCATGTACCCAACCTGCATCCTCCGCATGGGTCCTCGCCCTCTCCCCCTTCCCCCCTCCCACACCGCAGTTCCCCCTTGGAGCTGTCTCTGCCGGTAGACCCTAGGCTTCCCCAGTGACACCAGGAAGGGCAAACCTGAGTTGCTGCTGCTGCTTCTGAAGCTTGAGTGTTTGGGGAAGAGGAAGCTTTGTGGAAAGGAAGAGAGAACCGCTATGGACAGGCAATAGACAACTGGGGCAAATGTTGGGGAGGAGAGCTGCTCAGTGTTTCAAGAGGCGAGGAGGGGAGCCGGGAGGCTCTGCCCTGAGGCAGCCGTGGCTGAGCTGAGAGATGAAGGACAAGTGGCAGCTTCCCAGGCAGAAGAGGGTGGGCACAGTTCCAGGGTTCGCTGGAGGTACAAGAGGTTAGAAATGCCCTGTGACGTGGGGTACCTTACCCTGGATCTCTGGCCATCGCTACCATCGCCTCAAGCCTGTCTGCCATGAGGAGACCCTCAACCAGGACGCCCTTCTTGCCAAACCTGTGCCTTTAGGCTCAATACAGGCAAATGTAATTTGCATCCCAGCCTTGCATTCTCAGGTGGGCCCTAAATGCAGTCACTAAAATCCTGATCAGAAGGAGACAAGAGGGTGACTGGGCACACAGAGAAGGGGAGGTGAAGGTGGAGCCGAGAGAGAGATTTGGTGATGCTGGCCTTGAAGATGGGAGTGCGGTGGCCACAGGCCAAGAGATGCTGGTAACCCCCTGAAGCTGCAGAAACAAGGACTGGATTGTCCCCTAGAGTCCCAGGAGGGAGCACAGTACCTTAATTTCTGCCCAGTGATGCTGATTTGGGGCTTCTGGCCCCCAGAACTATGAAAGAATAATTTCTGTGGTCTTAAGCTAGCAAGTCTGTGGTAATTTGTTACAGTAGCCATGGGGAAATCAGATTGTCTAAAGCCACGTTCTAATAGCCATGCAATAAAATACCTTTTAACCCATCACAGATGGTCACGTGGAAGGACGCTTGCTGATAGGGAAGATGTTTGCTCACATATTAGGAAGAAACTGCCGCCTGCAAAACAGCATGCTTGGTCTTGGCATTTATACGGTCCTCATTATTTGCAGATTCCCTGTTTGTGAATTTGCCTACTTGATGAAACGCATTTGTAACCTCCAGATCGAAGTCGTTCGCAGACACGTGTGGAGAGGACAGAAATGTGAGTCATCAGATGTGCGTGTTCCCAGGTGGGATCAGACAAGATGCCCCTCTGCCATCTTGTTTCAGTCCTCACACTCGTACAGGTGCAGTCTATTTAGTGCCACTTTCTCTGCACTTTTGTGCTCCTTGCTGGTGACTCCGCCGTTTAAAATGGCCCCCAAGTGGAGTGTCGAAGTGCTGATAAGTTGTCCTAAGGGCAAGAAAGCTGTGATGTGTCCCATGGAGAAAATACAGGTGTTTGGTAAGCTTTACTCAGGCGTGAGTTATAGTCCTGTTGGCCATGAGTTCAGTGGTTACTGAACAAACTACATGTATTTAATAAGTGACCTTTAAAACAGAAACATACATAAAACAAGGTTACGTGGTGATCTGTTGGTGAAAATGTTGTGACCAAAAGGCTCACGGGAACTGTGTTTCCTCTAGGAGCAATGGGTTGGTGGTGACTTTAAAGGACAGAACTACTGTGACTTACGAGAATCAACTGTACATCCATTGAAATGAATTTTATACGGTGCATGCATGTACACAAATGCAAAGTCTGAAAGGGTATGTACAGGCATTCAA